TATGGCATAAATAGACTATCAAGCATAGCCCAAAATGCACAAACAGCAGAAGATAAACTAGATGAATGAGATCTTCTTCTTCTTGTTATATACCATCAAGTCGGCCCTGACTCATAGCAACCCCTCCTCAGGTTCCTGAGGCAGTATCACTATGGAAGTAGTGCCCAACCTTCCTTCTAAATATTTAAATTTTATGTGCTTCAAGACTTGTCCAAAAGCGTAAGAGAACCTACAGATTGGGAAAAAGTATTTGTCAATGACATTATCTGACAAGGGATTTATCTCTAAAATTCATAGAAAATTCCAATCCTCAACAATAAAAAACAAACAATCCAACTGAAAAATGGGCAGAAAACATGAATACACACTTCACTAAAGAGGACATTCAGGTAGTCAACAGACAAATGAAGAAATGTTCATGATCAATAAACATTAGAGAGATACAAATCAAAACGAGATGCCATCTTACCACAGTACTAATAGAAAAGTTCAACAAGACAGAAAATAACAAATGCTGGTGAGGTGTGGAGAGACTGGGACTCTCATACACTGCTTGTGGGACTGTAAAATGATACAAACACTGTGGAAAGCAATATAGCAACTCCTTAAAAAGTTGAATTAGAAATACCATTTGACTGAGTAATCTCATTACCAGGAATATATCCTAAAGTGAGAGCCAAGACAAGAACAGATACACACACACACACCCATGTTCATCACAGCACTATTTACAATAGCAAAAAGGTGGAAACATCTATGTGCCCATCAACAGAAGAATGGATAACCAAGCTATAGAACACACATACAATGAAATACTATGCAATAATAAAAAATAATGTTGACTGTACAAAACACTGCATAACTTTGATGAACTTGGAGGACATTATGCTGAGAGAAAGAAGCGAATCACAGAAGGAAAAATATTGTATTAGCTCATTATTGTACAAAGTCAAGAAAAGGTTTATATATGGAAGGAAACTTTGTTTGTTGGTTACCAGGGTGAGAGGAGAGGGGAGGAAATACTGCTAGATAGGTAGAGACAAGTATTGATTTGGGTGAAGGGAAGGGCAATATACCAAATGTGAGTGATCAACATGGTGGCACTGAGGAAGAGGAAGATAGAGAGAGGTACATGGGCAGTACAGACAACAAAGATGAACCCTTCTGCATGCATAGTACTGCATCGCCAGTGATGGTATCCATTTATTTTCGGCTAGGTAAGTAGACAGGCTGAATGATCAGGTACATCTAGGCAGGGGGTATTATGCCCATGACCATGTATGGGGTTAGCAGACAATGTTTCTACATGCATATTTGTATGTGCTGTAAGAATGGCCAGGTGTATAACAGAGCTGACAAGGGGCAAGATTGTAGTGGCTTCTTGGCCATAGCCAGCTACCTGCAGGGAGCAAGTAATTGGACCTCTGAGCTCAGGACCATGGCCACAGAGGACATCAAGCTCACCTGGCATAATGAACAAAAACATGGTTCTACATCTTACTTTGGTGATTAGCAACTGGGGTCTTAAAAGCTTGCAAGTGGCCATCTAGATGCAACGATGGGTCTCTCCTCCTCCAGAGCAAAGAGAAATGAAGAAAACCAAAGACATATGGAATCAATTAGTCCAAAGGACTAGCAGACCATGCGATCCTCAATCTGTATGACCATAAGACCAGAACAACTAGATGGTGCCCAGCTACCACTGTCAACCACTCAGAGGGGGATCAGTGCAGGAGATCCTGAAGTGTAAGAACAATGTGGAACAAAACTCAAAATTATGAAAGACGACCAGGTTTCCTGGTCTGATAGAGCCTGGTGAGACCCCTGAGACTATGGCCCCTAGCTACCCCTCAGGTCTAGAACTGAACTCAGTCTGTGGCTTCCAGCCAAACAACAGACAGATGTATTTTGGGGGGAAAAAAAAAAAAAAAAAAACCACTGCCACCAAGTTGCTTCTGACTCATAGTGACCCCCATTGGGTTTCTGAGGCTGTAAATCTTTACAGAAGTAGATCACCCCATCTTCCTTCCACAGAGTGGTGGTGGGTTTGAACCACTGACCTTCTGGTTAACAGTCAAGTGCCTTATCCACTACACCACCAGAGCTCCTTAGATAAGCATATGGGATAATTACTTACAACAGGTAGATACACTACTTATAGCGATCAATCATGGGAGAACAGAAGGGCGGTGTTTACACAGGGAGATAGCTCAGGGGGCAGGAGAGCATGGGAGGGAAGGACACAGGGAAGAGGTAACTATGGGGAGGAAGTGGGAAGAGAGCTGTTAAATTGTGAGGAATTGCAATCAATGTCCTAAGACAAATGTGTATGAACTGCTGTACAGAAAATGAATTTGCTGTGTAAACTTTCACCTAAACCACAGTAAAAATTAAATTTAAAAAAAAAAAAAAAAGTAAATGAGCATCACTCTCATTAAAAACCACTAAAAAACTGACCTAAAATTAGAAGCAAACACATAGATACCTCCTGGACATTTAGCTTATCTCCATGAAACACGAAAAACATTTTCACCTGGGATTCACAGGCCAATGGGATTCAGGGGTTAAGGATGCCAGATGTTCTGTGGATACATGGTTCATTTTTGAGGAAAGAGGTTCCACAGCACTGACCTAATGCAAAGACCTCTAAGAGGTCAGTAACCTATGAAAACTTAAGAACTGCTCTTTGATTGGGAAGAAGTGGGAGGGGAGCTGTTGCACTGGGGTAAACTGTAGTCAATGTCATGAGACAAAATGTATGTGAACTGCTGGATGGAAAGTGAATTTGCTCTGTAAATTTTCACCCAAATCACAATTTAAAAAAAAAACTGCTCTTTACGTGCAGCATGGAAGAGTCTGAAACAGCCAGCTTCAGAGGTGCCTGCTGACCACACTAAGACATCCTCATTCTCACCTTTAAGGACAGAATCCTCCAGACGCTCAGCCATCTCATGGCACTGCTGCTGGTAGTCAGGGCTGGAGAAGCAGTGCTTGGGTTCTGCAAGTTTCCGCTGTAGGCGCTCCAGGCGCTTCTGCTCCTTTTCAGCCTCACGCTCAGCCTGTTGTTTTACCCACTCAGCCATTCTAGGGGTAGAGGAGGAAGAGGTGTAACTGAATGGATATATTATATATATGCTTTTATATATAAAACACTTGTCCCCAGTCAGCTCTGGTGGCATAGTGCACAAGGCATTTGACTGCTAACCAGAAGGCTGGAGATTCAGCCACTCCTCAGAAGGAAGACTGGGCAATCTACTTCCATAGTGATACTCCCTCAGAAACCCAAGGAGGGGTTGCTATGAGTTGGATCTGACTCAACAGCAGTGAGTATGGTTTGGTTTTTTTTTTGGCCTTGGGTTTTTCTTGTCCCCAGTCAAATCAATGTACTTCTGCTCATATTGTGACACTTTCTCAGAAAAGTAAGCCATGTTAACTGGCATACTGTAAAGGACTTAATGAAAACCCAAAGATGATTATTACATTATAGAAAAGATTACATCTAGTAAACAATAAATTAGACCTTGAATATTGAACAGTAACATTTCAGATATACAAAGCATGCATATAATCACTTTTAATAAAAAAGTATGCTTCTTTCTCCAAGAAAATAAAAAAAGGTGAGCGTCTTACGCTTTTTCATGATTGACATCTCGTAGTCTCCTTCCACTGAGATCACGGCAAGCTTCTCGATTGGTTGTCTTCTCAATCTGAGCACCAAGTGCTCGGAGCATAGAACCAAAACCTAAGCAAATAGATTTGGAGAATACAGGTTGATTAGTGTTCAAGGATGGATAAAAGCCCAATTTGTGAAAACAGTATTGTATCACAAGATTAACAGTGAATTCTACCTTTAAAAAAAAAAAAGATTTAACTACAAGTTGAACCCAAGAAACAAAGGTAAAAGGGTTGATAAACTTGATTCAATCAAACACCTTTTGCCGTTCATTTTATCTTTCTGAAATATTGTACCTACATAACTGGACATTTCAAAGTGCTTTACCCAGGGCCAGAGATCCCAGGATTCCCAATTAGAAACTGAAAAATGATATGGTGACATTCTGTAACGAGTTAAAAGGAAAAGCAATTTGAAGCTGACACTGGCTGAGACAGCACACTTCATTCTTACTGATAATTTCAAACAGCAGGACAATCATATTCTGAGATGTCAGGTCTCTGAAAACCAAACCAAATCACTGCAGATCTGGAGAAAGCTTAAGGATTTTGTGTTAGTGCATCAGAAGAAATAGAAGGAACTGTTCACATTCTGTTTTTACACTTTTAATTTCATTTCTCTCTTCTTAGATAAAGAATGTAACCAGGACCTTAATCTACCCCAACCTGTAAAAACTAAAGGTAACTTTAGACCTCCTTTGGAATATAATAACTAAACAAAATCTTAATAAAAGCGGAGAGAGGTTTTATTGTCTTAAATGCTTCCTTCAGCAAAATGCACAGAATAATGGTTATCTTTCTTCATTTAATCTTGTAAAAAGTTTTAGAGTCTGGTCTGCCTACGAACTATCTGGCTGAAGAAGGTAGAAATTGTATCATGTGGTGTTTCTTCTTAAAAAGAATAAAAGAGAAAAGACTCAATATGAGGTAACTAAATAAAGAATTTCACAAGGCAAAACAAGGCTGATGTACTACAGAGACGGAGGAATTTGTTAATCAAATACCTATGGCTAAAATCTACAGATACATTCCAACCAAGTGGTCAACATTCATTCCTACCTCCTTTTCCACCACAGAGTCTGGGTTCCAGGCTATAAACAGCTCCATCCTGTACAGCATCATTAGTAGTGATGAGTGCTCCGTTGCATTTCACAAAGAAGTGTTCCACTGGAACATCCTAGAAACAAGTTTGATTTTTCAAAAAATGCTTTATATGAGACAATACAAGTTTCTTGTAGGAAGGGACCTAGCTTATCTTTTTATCATCAGCAGTTATAAGCAGATATTGCACATTTAATTAATATTTGTTGAATTGAAAATAAAAACTCTAAAAGAAAAAAAATCACTTTATATGAAGCACTCGGCGTACAATTTTTTCCTAGTATTATTTAATCAAGACATACTGAAGAACCTTCAGTCTTTAGGTGAAAGTAACAACTACTTCTTTCTTCTTTTCTAGTAGAGATTGTACAGGGCTCCGATCCAGTACTTTGGTGGGGGGTGTCTCATTTTCTCTTTTTCAAAGATGTAAAATCAAGTTGAACATCAAGAATGGTCTTTAAGTTTAAAACTGACAATATACATTCTGACAAGTGTAGGTAAGGGATAAGATTGGGAGGAGGGAGGAGACAGAGACAGGGTTTTTAACGTACCTAAAAATAAGTGTATTAATTTAGGACCAGCTAGCTGCTACCGCTTGTCTCTTCTGCTACCTTTCTCAAGTTGACAGCCAATCACTGCAGAAGCTCAAATACTCCCAAACCCACTTTGCATAGTATTTCAAAAATTCTCAGATCAAGTGATAAAAAGGAAAAAGTAGGAGTTCCGGCAAGATGGTGGACTAGGCAGAAAGACTGCACAGACCCTGTTCAACAAAGAAAAGGGAAACCAATTAACACAGACACAGAAGATAATCCTGGACCCCTGAGCCTTGAAGGGAAGGATACAGAAGTGGACTAAACCCCAACTAGCAGAAGAATTTGCATGAAAATACCAAAAAAGGAGACATACGGAGCTGCGGTCTGGCAGTGATCCTGAGCGATTCTGAGGGCACAGACAGCTTGGAGATTCCCGAGTGCTGGTAAGACTTAAGAATTAACCTAAAAATCAGCCCTGCTAGCCAGGGACTGCACAGAGGACTGCTCCGGTGGCTGAGGAATAAATGGAGAACGTGAAGAGAAAGGTGGGCTGAGCTGTGGACTTTTGCCGGTCTGGAGGGAGCCGCCATTTTGAAGGTCTAAAAGCAGCTTGACTATTTTGGATTTTTAAAGAGACAGCGCGCTCGCAGATTCCTGGGGCTTAAGAACATGTTCTGCTTTCCAGCAACCCCAAGAACCCTCTGGACCTGCAAGACTGAAAAGGTACGACATTCCTCTTCTTACTCTTATACCCCACACCTGCTTGGTGAACGAAGGTGTGGCCATCCCCCACTCCCACCCCACCTACCTTCTGGGCCCACAGGAACTCCATGACAGTCTGTGTGCTCAGATGGAGCCTGGGTGCCCTGCCCTGTCCTCCACCGATTTTTTTTTTCTCTCTCTTTTCTTATTTTTATTTTTTTCCTTTTCACTTTCTTTTTCTGGGGATTAGTTTGCTTGTATTTGTCTGTTTTAAAACAACTATTATTATTAATATTTTTGTCCTTTTTACTATTATTCTTAATCTTCCCCTCCCAGGTCCTAGTTTTTAGCACTTTTTCTTCTCCCTGTTCCTGGTTGAAACTTTTAAGTTTTTTTTTCCCCCTTTTGTTCTCATGGTTAACCCCATTCCTTATTTTTTCTTTTTACATTTTTCCCATTTTTTTTTCATTCATTATTGTCCTCTACTTTTTTTCTCTTAATGCCCTATTTCCAGATATTGCAGGTTTTCTTGTTATTTCTTCTTCTTTTTCCCTTTTTTCTTTTTTTGGTTACTGTTCCTGTGTGATTACATGGCGTGTTTTCTGTCCATGGGTTTTTAGTTTTTTGATAGTTATTCAATTGTACTTTGTGTCTAATTGAGTGGGAGGCAACAACAGTCCCCGTAAGACACAACTACACCCAGACTTCCTGCAACTTCACTTACTGAGCGAGAGCCACCACCTCCTTCTCCACCAACAGGCCAACGATAAAAAGCACTCAAGAAGAGCCTGAATCAGCCTTGACTGCTCTTCACAAACAGTTAACAGAGATCTAAATACAACAACATCACGATGCCTCGGAGACAACAGACCATCACAGTCCACACAAAGAAGCAGGATAAAGTGGTAGGAACAAGGAAGCAGGATACAGACCCAGAACACATCCCTGAGGAAG